CCACAAAGACACTTGCTCAACTCTGTTCATACAGCTTTAGTCACTCATCAACAGAGGAATGGATACAGAAAATGTGGTTCATTTACACAATGGAGTACTACTCAGCTATTAAAAACCAAGACATTGCCAGGCGGTGTTGGCACACGCCTTTAATCCCAGCACTTGGGAGGCAGAGGCAGGCGGATCTCTGAGTTCCAGGACAGCCAAGGCTACACAGAGAAACCCTGTCTGGAAAAACCAAAAAAAACAAAAAACAAAAAAAAAAAAAACAAAAACAAGACATCATGAAAATTTCAGGCAAATGGATGGAGCTTGAGAATAACATCCCAAAAGGACATGCATAGTATGTGCTCACTTATTAGTGGATATTAGCTGTAAAATACAGGATACCCATGCTACACTCCACAGACCCAAAGAAGCTAAACAAGAAGTAAGGCACAAGCCAGGAAGCTTGAATCTCACTCAGAAGGGAGAAAAAAATAGTCAAGAGGCAGATGGAGGGAGGGAGCTGGGTGAGAGAGGGGAAGGGGATGATGGGGGGAGTGAGGATGGACAGGAGATGACCAGATGACCATGAGAATGAATGGAAATCTGTAACTGACAGGAGTGGGGAGGTAGGGGCATCACCAGGAAGAGGCAGAGAACTGGGATAGGGGAGGCACCTAAGAATCAACAGGGTGACCTTAGCTGTGCCTCACAGCAGTGGGGGTATGGAACTTGAAGAGGCCACCTCCTGTAGAATCCCCAGTGAAGGGATAGGGACACCAATTTCCCCACAAAACTTTTGACCAAAAATTTATCCTGTCTACAAGAAAGGCAGGAATGGGGGATGGAGCAGAGACTGAGGGAATGGACAACCAGTAACCGGCCCAACTTCAGACCCATCCCATGGGCAAGCACCAATACCTAACACTATTAGTGATACTCTGTTATGTTTGTGACACGAGTCTAGCATGGCTGTCTTCTAAGAAGCTACACCCAGCAGCTGAGTCAGTCAGATGCAGACACCCATAGTCAATGGGGTGGAGCTTGGGGACTCTTAGGGAAGAGTAGGAGGGAAGGATTGCAGGCCCCCAAAGGGGATAGGAACTCCACAGGAAGACCAACAGAGTTAACTAACCTGGACCCTTGGGGCTCTCAGAGTCTGAACCACCAACCAAAGAGCATACATGGGCTGGACCTAGGCCTCCTGCTCATATGGAGCAGCTGTGCAGCTTGGTCTTCATGTGGGACCCAAATGAATGAAGCGGGGCTATTCTAAAAGCTGTTGCCTGTACATGGGCTATGTTCTAGCTGGCCTGCCTTGTCTGGCCTCAGTGAGAGAGGATGAGTCTAGCCTCAAAGAGACCTGATGAGCCTAGGTGAGGTGATACCCAGTGCCCCACCACCACCATCTCAGAGGAGAAGGGGAAGGGGGATGGGGGAAAGGATTGTGGGAGAGGGTAACCGGGAGGCGGGCAGTGAGTGGGATGTAAAGTGAATAAATTTTTTTTTAAATACTCCTCTTTGATTTTTAACATGAAAATAGAATAATTTATGTATTATACTGAAAGATTATCAACTCTCCCCAAGTGTTGGCTCTTCTGACTCGCAGACTAAGAAGCTTATACTAAAAATACATTATCATCCATGGCATTAATCTCTAAAAGTGTTTATATGCTGTTCTATACATATCTATCCTTAAGATCCCCAGAGTCTTTGAAACTCAAACACGGATGACTAAAACCGATAGGCACCTTCTGCTTTATTTCACAAGAACACAAAGCTAGAGTCTTGATCACAGCGAACTGGACCTTGTCACTTTTTATAAGTGCAGGGAGATGTTCTGTACCCTTTCCAGAAGGGACATGTTCAAGTTTGTTTTTATTATCTTGGCCTCTGTAATTGTGTGTAGCAGCTGAATCAGCCCATTACGTAGATCACTAATGCTGATGCATAGCTATGATTATATTATTGATCAAAATCCTAAAAGCATATGAAAACCAGGGACTCGGAGTACCAGCCACTTTTAGGCAAAAAGTCCATAAATAGCCTTGCCTATACATTTTAAAGCCTCATATTCCAGCTGATCCTTTGTATTCATTACACTGTCATTTAATTAGCGGTAGCAAAGCATAGAGTCACTATTAAAAGCAAAGAAGCACAAAAAACAATCCAATGCAGGATTCCACAGCATGTCACTGTTTCTATAGCTATATCTCAGCATAGCAAAGGGAGACCTGTTTAAGCCAGACAGCGTTTCTTTTCTTTCTTTATAGAAGGGGTTATAAACAACACATTTCTCACAGGACTGTCACCTGCCATTCATTCAGCTTGCTCAGGAGATGGGGCTAGATGTTCTTTCAGACTTGAGTTTGGGGACTTCCCTTATTGCTTACCTGCCTTCTTAACTATGACTTATGGAAATTCTGTTCTTCTACCTTGAGACTGGCATATTTGTTTGTCTGCTTGTTTCCTTCTGACAAGAGCTCCTTGTGTAGTTAAAGGTGGTCCCAACCCACTATGATCCTCTCACCCAGTTCAGTCTTCCAAGTGCTGAAATCCCAGGGGTATGCTGTCATCTCTGACCCTGACACAGTGCTGAAATACTGCAAAGCACCTCTAGGATGTGATCTGGCAAGAATAAATTCTTTTTTTTTTTTTTAAGATTTATTTATTTTATGAATGTGAGTACACAGTTGCTGTGATCAGACACACCAGAAGAGGGCATCAGATCCCATTGCAGATGGTTGTGAGTCACCATGTGGTTGCTGGGAATTGAACTCAGGACCTCTGGAAGAACAATCAGTGCTCTTAACCACTGAGCCATCTCTCCAGCCCAAGAATAAATTCTTAAAGAATTTCTAGATGAAAAAACAAAATAAGAAGCCCAACTAAAGCATAAGCATTGTGTTTTCCTATTTAATAGAATTTGCAATTCCTAGGAGGCAAACTTCTTTATCATGATTCTCACACTTTTCAAAAGATTCAAATGAGCTGGGTTATATTGGTGCATGCTTGTAATCCCAGCATTCAAGGTTCCGATCAAGAAGATTATGAGTTTGTGACCAATACACTGCTCGCCTCCCACCCCCAGCTTTCTTAATTAAACAACAACAACAACAGGCTGGAGAGATGGATCATCACTCAAGTTGCTTGCTGCTCTTGCAGAGGCCCCATGTTCCCAGCCTGTAACTCCAGCTCCAGATCTAACACTGCCTTCTGGCCTCCTGGGCACATGGAATAAACACAGACAGACACAGGCATGCATGTAAAATTAAGTAGGTAAATAATACATCTTCAAAAAAACAAACTCAACTCCCAAGACGACCAGAGACATGATGGAAACTCTTATTCCAACTCAACATGCTTTTACTTGATTTTTCTTTTTTAAAGTTACACGTTGCTAGACAGGTTTAATCCACCTCTGCGGTTGGAGCAGTCTGGAGGTAGGCAGATCTCTGTGAGTTCAAGTTCAGCCTGGTCTCAGTAGTGAATGCCAGGTCAGCACCCTGGCCTGCATGGTGAGACCTGTCTCAAAACAAACAACATCGTCTTGTCAAAACGATGACATGTAGGTAGTAACTAGTCAATCTTGTTAGGCCATGCGGTAAAGGATTTACTTAGGTTTCTTATTTAACCTTTACAAAATCTCTATGAATAATTTTACACAAGAGGACAAATAGCTTAGGCAGAAGGACTAAGATCAACGGGTCAAGGAAATACCAGCAACTGAAAGCTATTAGTTATTTTTCCAAGGGTGTTTAGAGTTAGCTTCTCGTAAACACTTCCTCTTCAAATAGTCCTTGTTTTAAAAACTTTAAGACTGGCATTAAAGAAGTCCCATGATCATTTCTAGTAGCAAGTCAGCGATTTTCAGAGAATAAGAAAATGATTTTCTTTCTGAAAAGTTTCACTTTCTTTACCGGAGGAAAAACTTATAGGAGATGGAAGCAAGTGTCCAAACCATCGAGACAACGATTTCTGTTTGAGTCCATAAGAATCTGTGATTCAAAGCTAATCAGTGAGCAATCCACCCGAAAGAGGAATCATGCAGTGCCTGTAAATCCCACCCTTTGGAAGCCGAGGCACGAATTTCAAAGCCGGCCTAGCTTGGGCTTCAAGTGAGCCCATCTGCCTACATCCTCGATTAAAACAAAAACAATAACAAACAAAAACAAAACAAAACAAAATCTGAGAATTTTCTTTTGGGGGAAATGTTTACTTTCCGATTTAAATATTTGAAATAAAATAACGGTGGCTAATTTACTAACAAAAGACAGACACTACGAAAGGGAAAACTATCAACCTGTAACAGACAAGTGTCTGATAAAGTCTGGATTAGCTGGTTTAGCCCACCCACACGCACCTGCAGTTCTGGAAAACTGGGGAATAAAGTAAGAGCAAACACGACGGTTTCTAAATCGCCCTCAAGAACATGGAACAAAAAACCGGTGGGAAGGCTATTGTCTCCTCGAGTTTATCCTATATAAAGTTCCTGAATCAAAACCGTGAGCCAACCCGTTGAAGGTCTAGTGTGAGAACAGCAACCCGTAGTTTAATACTTAGGGGGTAAAGGGATCTTTTTTAAAAAACAGAGCATTGGCCCAGATCTTTGCGCCTCTCTCTCCCGTGACCCGCGAAGTTGGCGGTTACACACCGACAACGCCGCTCGGTTCAAGCACCTGACCGGCAGGGGCCAGCCGGGCGGCGGAGGACCAGGCCCGGCTCACTCTGGGCCCGGGGATCAGGAGGGATCGGCGCGCCAGAGCCCAGCGGAAGGTGCGGAGTGGACAAGGAGGACGCTGCCCCCTAGGGGCGCCGAGCCGCGGCGGGGGGCGGCGATCGGGGCGGGGCGGGGGCCAGAGGCGGTGCTGGGCAGGCCGCGCCGTCGGGGCGGGGCGGTCCTCAGCTGGCCGGGCCCCGGCGGGGCGGGCGGAACGCGGAGCCCGGGCGGCAGCGGACGGCGGACGGCTGCGGCTGCGGCGGCGCGGGCACGGCGGGGCATCCGATCCTCGCCGTGAGCCTCGGGCTCGGGCCTGGAGAAGCGGCTGCACCGCGAAGCCACGAGCGAGATGGCAGAGTCCCCGCCGCCCGGCGCGGCTGCTGAAAGTTGCGGCGAGGACCCGGAGAGGGGCGGGGAGCGGCGTCCCGAAGAGCCGCTGGAGCCTCGCGGTGCTGCCGCCCGCGGCGCGGACCGGGAGGACGAGGCGGGGCCCTCGGAGCCGGACTCGCCGGTGGCCGCCCCCTTCTTCCTGCTCTACCCGGGCGATGGAGGCGCGGGCTTCGCAGCGCGCCCGCCACCGCAGCGCTCCTGGAGGACCCCGCCGTCGCCCGGCTCCCCGCTGCCCTTCCTACTGCTGAGCTACCCGAGCGGCGGCAGCGGCGGCGGAGGCAAGCACCGTGAGTGTTGGGCACCGGGACGGGGACGCGGTGGCCGGCCGAGCAGGACGGGCTCAGTGGAGCTCCGCCTCTCGCCGGGTTTCGGAGCCGCGCGGGCCGGGGGGTGGGGTCCGCGCGCGGGGGCGGGGGCGGCGGCGTACCCCTCGGCGGTGTCCACCCCTCGGTCGCTCCAGGCCGCGGCCCCGCCAGCTCGCTCCCCCTCGGGCCTCCACGTGCTGGGGCCGCGGCGTCCCCTGGCGCCGGCCGGCGGCGCCGCGCACTGGCGCCCTTCCGGGAGGAACCGCGGAGCTGGCGTCCGGGACCGGCTGACGCGCCCCCACCGGTTCCCAGCCGCGGTGGCCAAGTAGGTGTGGCTGTCGCGCCGCCGCCCTGCGGCCTCGGCCCGGGGAGGGAGATTTTTAAAGAGCGTTCCCCAAAACCATGAGTGAAAGTGGTGACCCCCCATCCCCACCCCACCCAAGTGAGACAAGAAATGGTCCCGAGGTACGCGAGAGGAAGGGAAAGGAAAGTGTGGCTTGGGAAGGGCACCTCCCAGTGTTGTGTCTTTTGTCAGAGAGACGCTTCCACGCCTTAAAGCCATGGCCACACTCTAGCCCCCCAAAAGCAGCGAACCCCCATCGGTAATGTTTTAGGCAACACATGTTTATTGCTGTTGGCCTTGAGCGGGGTCTGTGAGTGTGTATAATGAGAAGACAGGAGTATCAGGGATGGTTTAAAAAGACAAGACCTTAAGATATGAAAATACCTCTGACAACTCAGATGCTGTAAAATGCCAAATACCTTGCTATAGGTAGGAATTCTGAAAAGGGAGGGAAAGTTGCCCGGGGGGTAAGTGAGGCTCCCCTCCCTCCTTGTTTTTAAAGCTTGACGGTGCAGATCTTGATTTGACAGCTCTCTGCTGCCAAGAAACTGACTTGGCTTTTTCTGCCTCCCCATCCAACCCAGTGGAAGGGATAAACATTTGTTGAATGTGTCCTGTGTTCATGCACCACAGTTATCATGGCTATCAAGTCTCTGTGAGTGTAATAGACTACCCCCTTTTCAGCCGAGGAAGCTGAAGATTAGACTTATTACATTCTTTGTTTTCAGTAACAGTTTTATGAAGCGAGCATGACCCAGATTCCTTGTCTTCCATGACTGAGCTCTTTAATCAAACATGAGAGGTCCAAAACTGAGATGGTGTGTGTAGGGGTTAGCCGGAAGGAACTACCGGATTCAGCTAGCGAAAGTCCAGTGTTATCTCTCTTCTTATCTAAAAAAAGTGGTCCTAGATTGACCTGGTTGAGTCTTACAATGATTCTCTTTGAGTTGTGTGCTCTAATCTCGAGATAGGAGAGTTCTGTAGATCATTTGTGCAGCAGAGGAGGTAGGCAGATTCCTCATGCTGAACACTTCATTTCAAAGGAATAGGCTTTCTTTGTACAGCCTCTTTTTTGTTCCTTTTCTATTTCTGTGTGTTCTTCTTGTTATAACCACATCACTACAGAATGAAGGAGGTGCTCTTTTAACAACAGTTCTCCATGCGACAGCTGTACATAATTTGACATAGTTTTTTTTTTTTAATCCGCTGACTAGTATCAATTGTAGGGACTGTTTGAATCCCAGTTAGTTTGTTTGATTTTTTTTTTCCTGTTCAGTAAAGATTGGATTTCCTTACTTTTTAAGTTTGGAGCTAAGCGTGATCACCGTAGGAAGGGAAGATTTAAGTCCCTGGGGTTGAACTTTGCAAATGCCAGGCAAACACTCAGTCACCACGATCATGAATATGATGTTATACTGCTGCCATACAGTGCTAGCAAGTCTATGGAATGACTTGTTAACACATAAACATCTTAGAGTTAACTTATCCTGTAATAGTTCAAGGTATAAAACTTATGACTCCTTCCTCCACTGCTTTTACAGACTAGTTATTCACAGTGCATTCTAGCAAAAACATACTGACTACATCTTTTGGGGTGGGGGAGGCTTATGACCATCTGTGATGGGATCCGATGCCCTCCTCTAGTGTGTCTGAAGACAGCAACAGTGTATTCTTATAAATATTCTTTTTTTTTAGAAAAAATAAAATAACCCGTGCAAATGTCAAAAAATAAATAAATGTGCATAAAAATACTCCCTTGTTGCCCTGCAGAGTCAGTGTTAACTCTGCTTTCTGTAATGATCTGGAACACTCCTGACTGCTGGGCTTTAAAAGGCTTCTTGTTCTTTTTTAAATATTTATTTATTATTTATTTAATTCTATTTTATGTGCATTGGTGTTCTGTCTGGATGTCTGTCTGCATGAGGGTGTCAGATCACCTAGAACTCCAGTCACAGATAGTTTTGAGCTGCCGTGTGGGTGCTGGGAATTGAACCCAGGTCCTTTGGAAGAACAACCATTATTCTTAACTGCTGAGCCATCTCTCCAGCCCCAGCTTTTTGTTTTCATTTCTATTACCAGGACAGTACATGAAGTCAGACTCAACCCTGAGTGACTACGTGGTAGCTGAGCTCAGCTTAGAACCCTTTCTTCTTCTTTTGTTTAGACGGGGTTTTGCCAGACTGTCCAGATTAGCCTTGAAGTTGTCTTCTGGCCTTAGCCTCTGGGATGCTGGGATTTGTAAGTGTGTGCACCCACACCCTCAGAACCCAATTTTAACTTCCTGATGCATGTACCAAACATGTGTAAGATGTACTAGCCTTAACACTGTGTTGGGATAGTATGGCTTTGCTTTCACAGTTATGACTGCACTTGCGTGCCTATTTCCTTGAGGCAGGCTGTCACTTAGTTAAGGTGTGGCTTCAGCTTTGCCTTGTGACCGAGAGTGAAGCGAATCTCCTGATCTCTTGCTTTTACCTTCTCAGTGGCATTGCAGGCATTCCCACACTACCTTTGTCTTGTGCTGATTTTTTTTTAAACATGACTTGAATTGGGAAGCTCTGTTGTTAAATGACAGTGTAAGTGCAAAATAAAAGTCCAAATAGAAGTGGTCACCTAGCCTAAAGGTTTCAGAGTTTGTGGCGACATGTAGCATTAAATTGCATAGCCTACAATGTCTATAAAGAGTTGAGAGAAGGCTTCTGATAGGCCATGATGCATTCTCAGTTCCTTTCCAAATATTTCCTGGTAGTCTGTTTGATTTTCATACCCTAATTCTTTGTTTCCCCTTGAGACAGGATCTCACTGTGCAGCTCTGGCTGGCCTAGAACTCACAGAGGTCTACCTGCCTCTGCCTCCTGAGTGCTGGGATTAAAGGCGTGCGCCACCGTGTCTGCTTAGACTCTCGCTCTTAAGTTTTATTTTCTCTACTGTCCTTTTGAAAACTGATTGTATAAAATTGGAAATAGCACATAGATCTGCTGCCTTTGCTCACACGTTTTATGGTACAAGTGTTCAACATGCCAAGCGCTTTTCTGTTCTGTGGGCCCCTCTAGCGACACCCCGCCGTGGTCAGTGTCACATGATATCACACTTTTGAATTGGGTGGACTTTTTCATACAATCATGTGTCTGTGTTCATATTTCATGGTATCCTTTCTCTCTTCTATGAGCTTTTGTGATTTCTGATCAGCTGTTTTGCAATTAACTTTAAACGTCTTCCTTTTTCTGTTAAAACATTACCAATCTTGTGAGTAGACAGCACAAAATTGTACGCCAGCTTTGGAGGTGGCATGCTGAGTTTTAATTATCAACTTCTCACAATCCAGAGTCACCTGGGAAAAGAGACTCAGGGAAGGACTATGTCGATCAGGTTGGCATATGGGCGTGCCTGTGAGGTATTCCCTTTATTACAGAGAAGGACCTTCTCTTTCTGGGGATGCCGTTCCCTGCTGGGATCTTGCACTTTGTAAGTATGAGCACAGAAGGTCTGTGTTAACTGTGAGTGTGACTAATTGCTTCAAATCCCTTCCTCGCCCTCCCACAGTGGTGGACTCTCACCTGGAATTGTAAACCCTTTCTTCCCAGACGTCACTTTTGTCATGGTATTTTACCGTAGCAAGGGGGACAGTGTGTGTAGCTGTGTGTAAGTGGGCGTGCATGTAGAGGCCAGGTACTGGTTCTTTCCTTCCACTGTGGGTTGCAAGGATCCTCAGGCTTGTTTTTACTTTCTGGGCCATCTTGCTGGCCTAGTTGTTGTTGTTTGGTTAGTTGATTGGTTGTTCTATAAACTTGATTACACAGTTCTTCAGCAAGAACTTTATAAATGGCAAGGTTGTGTAGCAAAGTCAGAAGGCTGAACATTGGCAGCCTCTGTTTGTAATTTTTTTTTTTTTCTGTAGACCAGGCTGGCCTTGAACTCAGGGATCTGCCTTCCTCTGCCTCCAGAGTGCTGAGACTAAAGGTGAGTGGTGAGTGCCTCACTGCCTGGCCAGTAATTCTTATCTTTATCCAACTCCCAAAGCTACAGCAACTATTTATGGTTAGTTGCACTTCCAGCAGCACTAGGTGGCAGAGACAGGAGGATCTCTAATTTGAGGCCAACCTATTCTAATTAGTGAATACAGAACAGCCAGAGCTGCACAGAGAAACCTTGTCTCAAAAAAAAAAAAATAACAACAACAACAAAAGTTATGTTTAAGATGATGGCAAAGAACAATATCTCTTGTCATTTTCTTTCAATTACAGAAGTATACAAGATGCCTCTCACTCACAGAGTGAGAAGGAGCTGGAAGAGGGATGAAAGGGGTGGGGGAGAATCTCAGAAGAGACATTATGAGTACCCTTTTCAAAGAACACCCAACAACGAGGACCGTGTGTAGCAGGATATTTATTCTACTACATTGTATTCACAGTGGAGCTCAGTGATTAGGCAGTAGAAGAGGAGGTGAAAACAATTTAAAAAAAAGAAAAAAAAGAAGAGGAGGTGAAGCTGGAAGAAGAGGAGAGGAAGGGGAGGGAAGAAAGAGAGGGAGGGGAGGAGAGGAAGGAGGCTGTGGATCTTGGAGAACCACGGATGGGTTGAAAGCTGTCCTGGGTAGCAACTTCTATCAAAAGATTAGATATTGGGTAACAACTCTAAT